CAACAAATAACAAGGCACAATCCCTTCCTCTCTCATCCCTTTAATTGGCCGAACCACCCTTCATTCACCACTCTCATTTCAAAAAAATTCATCCAACTCATTTCACCTCTCTAACCTTCAACTTTTTGTCTCATCTCCTTCTCTAAAGCTCGTGGGTATATAGGTGTTTTTCAAGAAAGTTTTCATTAAAAATCACAAGCTTGGTAAGTTAATGTCTAACTCAAGAGTTTTTACTTCATGCTTATGTTTAAAACACTCAACTTATACACTTAGTTATGTGTTAAACTCCTTAGAACAACCACCACTTCAAAGATCTCTTCAAGGCACAAGCTAGGACTCGAAATTCCTTCATCTTTTTCCTCTACAAACCGAAAAAGCCCCAAGGTGAGCTTCACACCCCTTGTTTTCAAATTTTCATTTTTTTTTGGGGGGGGGGGGGGACACAAGTCAAAATCTTGTTTATATCCTTGAATATTCACTTGCATGTGTATGTTTTATATGTATATGTGTGTTGAAATGTTGTGATCTCATGCTAGAAATCCATGAACTCGAGATTTGTATAAGTCTCAAGTTGTTGGAAACAAAGTTATTTTGTGTAGCTTTACATGTTTTGTTGTTATGCCAAAAATGTTTTCTTTAATGTGTGATAAAATCACCATGATGTTAAGAAAAATGTTAAAACAAAATTTTGGTGATGAAAGCTTGAAAAATGGAAAAATATGGAGAATTACACTTAAAATGGTAAAATTTGTGAATCTATAAATTTTTACTACAGTAAAAATAAAAATGGGTTAATTATGACCATTTCAGTAAAAATGGGCTATTTTTGACAACAATGTCAAAAATAGGCTACTTTTGACAATTATGGTAGAAATGGGCTATTTTTTATAACTATGGTAAAAATGGGCTATTTTTGATAACTCTGGTAAAAATGGGCTATTTTTGACAACTATGATAAAAATAAGCTATTTTTGACAACTATGGTAAAACTGGACAAATTTTGACAATTGTGGTAAAAATGAGCTATTTATGACAAAAGTAGTAAAAATGGGACAAACTCACTTTTCCACAAAAATTTATGTATTATAAGTTGTCTGTCAATAATAATTTTTAAACACTCCTAATAATCTGTCTAAATTATGACAATAATTATTGTGTGTCAAACTGCAGTCGTAAATATACACTAGTAACATTATTTATAACGTTACATAATGGGATTCAATATTTGCGTAAATTCTATTAAGGCTCTTGTGAGACACTTCTTCACCGTACCTATTTAGTGTACCCGTAAGACCTTTAGTTATAACCAAAGTCTCTTGGAGGGAGATTGGGATATTGTGTATAGATCTATACGGGGTTGACACCCCCACACCTAAGCTGTTTGCTACAGATAGACATGCCAGTCTAGGGTCATAACTATTTTTAGAAACCGACGCTTGAAGAACGTCAAGACAGACGCTCTAGTCACATTAGTATGGTTATAACGATTCACATATGGAATAACAATATTATTTTAAAATTTACACAAAGTATACACTCTACCCATTTTATAAAGTACAAAACTATGTGTCGTCCGTCTATTTTGTAACTAGTTTCACCACTCTGGTCTTAAGGTTTAAGACCACAACTTTTCGTATAACAGAAAATATAGGATTTTCAGGGAATACACTCTATATAATTTCAAACAAGGTAAACAAAGAATACATATGCAATTATACATGATTTTGAAACGAGACTCACAAACTATTTCTAAAGAAAATATCGGATTTTCTGGAGTTTACAAACTATTACAAAGTTTTCTTATAAATATGTTTATGAACTCACCAACATTCTATGTTGACGCTTTTTAAAACGACTTGTATTCTCAGGAACTCAGTGAGCAGGTTTTTCAGCCATGGACTTTGGATAATTGTTGTACTTTTATCATCATACATTATGTTATTTTTGGATGTATTTTCATGAACAAATTCAAAGTTGTAAACAATACATGTTGGTATATTTAATGTATGATGATGTGTTTCATTCATATTCAATTGTTATGATATTACAAGATGAAGTCACCCGCCCCTGGATGTTTCCGCCGTCCCGGTTCGGGGGTGTGACACATGCAGACATGCATTCGGTTTAGAATATTTTGTTAACTTTTGCAACCGATATTGTTGAATAAATGTAATGTTTGTTGCATGAAATATGGAGTAAGTTTTCTCTAACATATCTTCATCAATAACTTTTTGTCCACAAATCACAATACTTGAGTTGTGAACATATTCTGAACAAAGCTGAGTTGTATTCATTTACTTTCTTGAAGTCTTGAAACCTCAATGTTCTCCATTCATCTCTACCATTTGGAAGTATAACTTCCTTTTGATGATCAAATCTTTCTTTCAAGAGATTCCAGAGAATACTTGGATCAGTAATATCAATATATTCAAATCTCAACATTTCATCAATATGCTTATGAAGGAAAATTTGTGCTTTCACCTTGTCTTGTGCTAAACAATTATTAAATTCATATATAACATTTGAGATTCCCTTGGACTCAAGATGCATTTTTACATCTATCATTCATGACACATAGTTTTTCCCACTAACTTCAAGTGCTGCAAACTCGAGCCTTGCAATGTTGGACATATTGTAACTATAAATTTAAACAAAATAACAAGAGATAAAATTAAAATCCATTTATTTCAATATATATTGTACAAAACAGAAGCGGGAGAAGAATCACCCCATACAAGACTAAGAAATGATAAAATAAATCAGGATCAAATACATCCGGTGTGAGATTGAAAAATAGGAAGCTAAGTGCTATAATCATTATAGTTGCGCGAATCTCAACCGGATGAATCATTTTGATCTTGATAACCTTGAAAAGAGAGAATATACTCCTTTTTTTTGTAGAAAGAAAATATGATAGTGATGTTATTTATAGTAGAAAAATAACCGTTGTTTTTGCTATTTTTATAATTAATAATGTTTTTACTAAGTAATACATGCTTGATTAAGATATATATGATTTCCACTTGTTTAATAATCTTGATTAGAGTTTTCGTGTTGATAACGTGTTATAAATTTGATGTAATTAAAACTAAAACAAACAGAATTAAACTAAAACATTATAAAATAAAAGAAGGAGATTTGAGAGGATTTTTGAACACTTAGAAGATTGTATTCAACATAGTGTGTTTATTTATCACATTTGATAAGTATTTATACTACATATCATTCTATTTTTACATCATCAAAATAGTAAATAAATAGTTAAAGGAAACTATTTGAATGATAAAAAATATTCATCCATATGCTATGTCTAACTCTCTCTCTCTCTCTCTCTCTCTCTCTATATATATATATATATATATATATATATATATATATATATATATACACACACACACACTACAAGAAAAATCATGAATAGCTACGGAAAATTTTTACGGAATCAAAATCCGTAGCAATTTTAATGCAGAATATGTTACGGAATGGCTTGCGTAGCTATAATGCTACGGAAACGGTTACGAAATTGCATTCCGTAGCTAAATCTTAAATAGTTACGTAAAGTTTCTATGGAATCAAGATTCGTAGCCATTCTGCTATGGAATATGCTACAAAATTCTTGGTTGTAGGTCATTTGCTACGAAAATTATTACGGAATTGCATTTACGTAGCTGAATCATGAATAGTTGTTACGAAATCGAAACTCGTAGCTATTTTACTATAAAATATACTACATAATTTTTAGTTGTAGCTAATTCGTTACGGAACTTGTTATAGAATTCATATCCGTAGATACTTTGCTAGAAAATTCGCTACGGAATCAAAATTTATAGCTAGTTAGCTACAAAATTGAAATCCATAGTTATTTTGCTATGAAAATTTGCTACACAATAAAATTGTGTAGTTAATCTACCATGAAACTTGTGACGAAAAGGATATTTGTAGTTATTTGTGTATACGACTGGTTTAGGAATTTGCAAAATAACTACGAAAACAAAATCCGTAGTTATTTCTCTACGAATTATTCCGTAGTTAAATAGCTACGTAATATCTCTCCCGTAGCAAAATATAGAAAATTATTTTAAAAGGAAACTAGTAAGAATCTTAAAACAAGAGAAGAAAATGATATATCGTAATTAAAAAAGTTATGATTTTTTCTTCACTTACATAAATAAAATATATATATATATATATATATATATATATATATATATATATATATATATATATATATATATATTACGTCTCATTATTTATTTTTATCTAAGCTACTTTTTCCCCCAAATCATTGCAGTCACCCTCGTTTTCTCTCATTGACGGTGGAAGCAGCAAAATTTTCCCCAAATCAGATCATATGTATCACATTTGGAAGTAGCATAAGACGATCACGTATGAAAAGGAATATCTATAACTTCGGTGGCGAATTTGATCCGAACATCTCAGACATCCGCGGTGTAATTAAGGATCTTAAAATATATTGTAATTTGATCCGAATATCTATAACTTCGGTGGCGAATTTTAGCCATAATATTTTCACATTTTGACAAATTTAGTCATCGCCGCCTTGTATTGTAAAAAAAAAAAAAAAGAAACCCAGAGGAGAAGCTCGGGTTTTTTTACTAGTTGCTATTAAAATATATTGTAATTTGATAATGGTTTTTGATCATACACCATTTTCAGCCCATGTTTCATTTTTTTTTTAAGAAAATACAATTATAGAAGGTGGAACCGTGAAAATAAAATTAATGTTAATTTAGTAGAATATAACGCATAATACTTTTATTAGAAACATCAAACTATCACAAAAAATATTAACTTGTTTACAGTGAATTTGAATAGTATAAGAAAGAAAAGTATAATAAGTTATGAATGCACTGAAGACGGGTCGGGGATAGGTCCACTTTTAAAAGGGAGGGGATTCAATTTCCCGTACGTCGAGGGACGGGGAAGAAGATATGATAGGAGACTCGGTGATGATGAGAGAATGACTGACCCCACCTCATCCCTACCCGTTTATATATGATGGATCTTATGTATTCTTAAAGTTTTCACATAAAATTGAATAGATTGTGTAATAATTATGTGGCAACTATTAAGGTTTTGTAGAGTCGTATGTATTAGAGAATACTTGTATAGAACCATTCACGGTACTCGAGGACACACCATTGTTTGATCACTTGATGTGATATCCCACACGACAACCAAACTTGAAGCTTTTGTGATTCAAAAAACCACCCGATTACCAAAACCCCATAAAAAGACACACATTCACACACACTCACTCTCTCTTCCCCAATCATGCTTATTATTCTCCTATTCCTCCTCCTGTTAACATGCCACCCCCGTCATGTCACCACCAACAACCACCTGCAACCACAAGATACCATGGATCCATCGGAGCTACAAACCCTCTACAGTATAATGGAAACACTCTCTCTCGACCAAAAATGGAGACTCAACTATCCAAACCCATGTAAACCTTCCGCTTCTTGGGTTGGAATTGAATGCAAACGAGGTGTTACAGACTCTCATCTTCATGTCACACGACTTGATTTTGGTACCTCTCCAAACCCTACCTGCAAGAACACTGCTACCTTTCCTTCACAGATCTTTCAGCTTCCTTACCTTCAGTCTGTATTCTTCTTTCAGTGTTTCACCAAAACCAAAACAACACTTTCTGTGTCAAAGAACAGAACTGGAAGTCCTGGACCTTCTTCCCTGCAGCAGCTAAGTCTCAGATCAAATCCTAGCCTTGTTGGCTCTATACCTTCTCAACTCTTCTCTCATTTATCTTCACTTCAGATTCTTACCATATCACAAACCAGAATCTCCGGCAGGATCCCGCCGGAGATCTCGCAGTTGAGTTCGCTTGTTCATCTTGACTTGAGTTATAACCAGCTCACTGGGGCTATACCTGTTGAACTGTGCAAGCTCAGGAACCTAGTGGGACTTGATCTGAGCTATAACTCGCTTACGGGTCCAGTCCCCAACGCAATTGGGCAACTGGGTATGCTTCAAAAACTAGACTTTAGCTCGAATTTACTCACTGGAAGTGTTCCGAACAGCGTTGAGAAACTCACTTCTTTGGTGTTCATGGCACTGAGCAACAATGGATTTCATGGAAAACCGCCGGTTGGATTAGCGAATTTGAAGGGATTGGAGTATTTGATCATGGACAACAACCCAATGTCTACCGAACTTCCGACGGAGTTCGGCCATCTCCCTAAGCTACAAGAGCTCAGACTTGCCGACTCCGGCTACTCCGGCGAAATTCCGGCCATCTTTTCACAGTTATCGAATCTAACCACATTGTCGTTACAAAACAACCGATTAACCGGAAATATTCCGCTGGGTTTAGGAAATCTTTCACATATTTATCACCTGAATTTGAGCAAGAACTGGTTGAGTGGAGAGATTCCCTTTGATTCTGGTTTCTTGAAGAGACTGGGGAAGAATTTGGATTTAAGTGGGAATGGGCAGTTGTGTTTGAATCCGTTGCAAGCATATGATTCTGTGAAGCTTGGAGTTGATGTGTGTAATAGAAGCAACGCACGTGTAGGTAATAGCAGTTCTAGGATTCAGCCATTGAAGAAATCTGAAGGTCGAGTAGTCGAATTTAGTAGGCCAGCTTTATTCTTTGTGTTTCTTGGTTTGGGTTGTGTTGGAATTTGAACATTCATGTTTCCTTGTATTTTGTATTGATTAATCCATTTTATGCATCATTTATCTTTGAATTTTGTTGTGATTAAATTTTGGGCTTACCATTTAAATTTTGGAAAGAGTATATATATATATATATATATATATATATATATATATATATATATATATATATATATATATATATATATATATATATAGGTTCATTTGAGACCATTCTAATTTTGTGAGACCAAATCTAAAAATAATTTTAAAATGCAAAATAAATAGAAAAATCCAAAAATTCTTTTTTTAAATCTTATTTTCGGAACTTGAATTAACTAAAAAAAATAAAAAAAAATCCCGTTTTTTTTTGAAAAATATGTGAAATATTCTAAATAAAATATTACACTGACATATTCTAAAAATAATTTTAAAATGCAAAATAAATAGAAAAACCTAAAAAAAAGTTTTAATATTATTTTCGGAACTTGAATTAACTAAAAAAAATAAAAAAAAAATAAAAAAAAATCATATTTTTTTGAAAAATACGTGAAATATTCTAAATAGAATATTACACTGTACATATTCTAAAAATAATTTTAAAATGCAAAATAAATGGAAAAATCAAAAAATTCTTTTTTTAAATATAATTTTCGGAACTTGAATTAACTAAATTTTTTTTAAAAAAAATAGAAAAAAATACGTTTCACGGTCTCACAAAATTAGGTCGTCTCACATGAACCTAACCCTATATATATATATATATATATAAGGGAGGGTTCAATTGAAAAAAAAAAGGTTGAGAATGGGGGAATCATTCTCAGCCAATCATTTATTTTTGTCACAAAAGGCTTCAACGTACCAGCAGAAATGGGAAACGAATGAACATGTGTTTTTCAATATAACATATTTCGTTAAACTATGCTAATCATTACCTTAATATATACAAAAACATAGTTTTTTTTTTTTTTTTAACTTTTATAAGCTACTTTTATCAAAAAATGATTTTAAATATACCAAAATTCATGATTTTTTATTCTCTACAAATAGACATTCATATTGATATAGTTTTAAGATAATATATATATATATATATATATATATATATATATATTTTATATTTTCAGCTATCGTTATTCATAAATGAATAACAATGCATCAGGTTTTATTACGGTACATTCGTTATTCACTTATGAATAAAAAGTATGTTTTTTTTGTTTTTTTTTACAATTTAAGTATCATTCATATATGAATATAGCATATAATCAACACAGTATATTCATATTTTAATATTGAACAATGAATTCACTTGTGAATATTAACATAGTATACTCACTTGTGAATATTAGATGATATATTCACTTATGAGTATTAAATGATATTTCATATGTGAATATTACATAGTATTACATGGTATATCACATGTGAATATTACAGAGTATATTCAATTGTGAATATTAGATGATATATTCACTTATGAATATTACACAGTATATACACATATGAATATTACAAGGTATATTCACTTTTGAATATTGAAGGTATTTTGACAAATATATATAAATTTTATATGTTATTCACATATGAATAACATACAGACTTGCATATTTGTTTTGACAAATATATAGGTGAGAAAACATATTCATATGTGAATATAACGTGGTAATTTAGTTTATGCATTTCATCAAACAGTTGGAGTGCAAACAAGTTAACTATTTTAAAAATGTTAAAAACATCAAGTTATCTATTCCAAATCATCATATACTTTCGATTTCGACTTCAGATGTGACATCATATCTCTGATCGATTTCTCAATTAGATTTTGATTTCCGAAAATCCGATTGGGAACTTGTGAGTGCCAATTCTAAGTCCCTCAATGTTGACTGTGATTGCGAGTCCAGAACTTCGATTCCAGTTTCATGAACAACAAAGAAATTCCGGTTTAGTTGAAGAAATCTGGATGATTATTGAAGGTTAGAGGAAAATTTTTTATGATGAACGAACAGTTATCGAATTCTCTATAGTTACATATTTAAGATTGAAGGTTATTACGATATTTACAAGTTTGTCACCGTGTCTTTTATGCTTAGATTAAATGAGTGACTGAGAATGATTCCCCATTCTCAAACTTTTTTATTTTCTTAATTGAACCCACCTCTCTCTCTCTCTCTCTCTCTCTCTATATATATATATATATATATATATATATATATATATATATTTCTTGCACTAGCCTAATTAAAATTACAACACTAATAGCCAACAAAGGATTTTGTAAGTAACCTACCTAATTCGGCTTTAACTTGACGTGTCTATTAGGCAATCAAAAGAAAGATTGAGATAGTCATACAAACCCGTTTTGTTTGGCTTCACTGCTCCAAAATTAATTCGTTACAAAACTTCCAAATGGTTTAATGTGTTATGGTAAGAACATTATCAAAGAGATTCCTTTTTAGACATCAAGGTTTTATGATTCCCCAATCATAGGCAAGAAGAACTGTAATATTATTTATACCATGCATATCTAAATTCCACCGCTGAGAATGTTGTGTCCATATGGTTGTTAAAACCCTGACACCAGAAAAAAAAAAAAATACCTTCAACACTTTCCTCATTCTCGTTGGAACTCGCTCGTAGAACCATATCCCCATCAATCTATCTCTTGTCCAAATTCGCCCAAAGTTTGTTAAGCTATATTTTCCAAATAAAAACATTAACTTTGATCGATTGATTTTTGTACCATCTAGTTTTGTTCCCGCCAACAATTAAAAGCTTTTTTTTTTATCAATAGCATGTCTAGTTGAAGCAACCAAGTAATTACTTGACCAAACAAACTCCCAAAGCCATTTATCATCTATTGTAGCCAAACCAACATTGTGCACAAGTCTTTGAGGGCTGCCTATTGCAACAATTTACCTCCACGACATGGTTGTTGACACAACCAACCACGAAACTTTAATAAGGCAACCTCTCCGACACCAATTCATCTACATCGTCACACCGAAAGATTGTTTAGGAGAGTATCCATTAGTCCTCCCAAAATCTAGTTTTTATATCATTTCCCATCGTCTCTAAACAATACGAATCAAGGTTTATTACCTTGATCTTGAAGTCTCTTCACCATTCTGAGAATTTCCACCCATACTGAAGCCACATATTCATTCGGTATAAGAAAATTTAAATACCAATTAACACCAAAAATCCCTTTCATAACATCCACCTATGGCCCATATTGGGTTTAAAAAATCCATTTATGCTTGTATAGCAACGTTCTATTAAAAGCAAAAACTCTTCTTAATTGAGTAAATCTTGGTCACCCATACAGGAGGTCTGAAGTTGAAACATTGGGTGTTTCAATCAAACGATGGTCAAGAGAAGGGTGTGTGACATAGTTTCTAAAATTGGTTGCTTAGTATTATTGCTAAATGGAAGCCCTTTCTCCCATACCTCACAGTATATGAGATTCATAATGATGGTGAGGAACCTATGAATGACATTCTCTTGGACATCAGTAGAGAGATCAAGTTCCAATCACTAATATGGTTGGTGCCTTAATGATCATGTTTCAATCAGTAAACTGTGTGAAATATTTATCACATTTTGGTTGAATGTTTGGATATTATTTGTGTAGATGATCCAATTAATAGAGATAACAACATAATATTCCATGAAATATTTTTTGTAAGGATCTTGTATTTCATAGATGTTATATCATATGTTAACTTATAATAATATGTATAAGTTACCTGTTTGTCTTCTTGTGCAACAATTAAGATTAATCAGACACTTTATATTCATCCCAATATAATTCTTCTCTTTGAATCTTTTTAAGATGCATGTTTGTCTTTTCACAACATACTAGTAACTATGATACACCGAACAATTACTAAACTTTTATTATCCTCATGATCGGGTATATCTGATGACATGTGTTTAGAGACCAAAAAGAATGCAAATTTATCTGATCTACGTCCATGTAGAGATTAGACAATATATAAATAGTAGGGTTCAAAAGTAACCATGAACCAAAGGCAAAATCACGAGGCTTGCTAACTAATACAAATCAAATTGAGGGTAAAATCCATTCATAAGATCATTTGTGTCTATTTATAGACAAATGGATGTGATTCTAGATATGCTCTTATTGTATATTTGGTTTATCAACAACAAATATATCACTACGAAAGTACCTCCACCATAGATATAGAGAAAGAAAACATTCAACTTAAAAATATCTCAAAGGGAGCATATAACGCCTGCAGATTCAGGCTAATCAATTTAGAGGCAATAAACATCAAAAAATGACTTTTTGATAGAAGATTATTTAAAATAAATAATCTTAATTAAGTTATATTATATATCACAAGGATTCCGTACATATCAAGAACACTGAAATCCGGGTTATAACAAAGAAGTTATGAGTCGTCGAAGTTTTACGACAAAACCGACACGACACCGCGTAACGTAAAAAGTGAATTTTTGATAAATTACTTTTTAGCCTTAGGAATCTAATCAAAAGTCATAGTATATGTTAAAATGAGAGTTTATATAAAAAGAACATCAAAATCTAACTTTGTATGAGAAAGTTATGATTTTTTAAAGATTTAGCATAGCAGTGCACAGTCGGAAATCGAATTTTAGATCGATCGATTTTTAACCGACAAAACCTAAATGAGAATTGAATATATCATTAATAAGATCTCAATGATATAAAGACAGTAGAAATCGGAGGTCAGATGACAAAGTTATGAATTTTTAACGGATTAACTGTCTAAGTCTGTTAAAATATAACTTTAAAAATAAATTCAGAATTAGCTGATGGAGTCTAAATGAAATTTGTGGATCATGTCGATTCCTACACATGGATATAAATAACATCAAATACGGAGCTTGTATGCGAAAGTTATGGGTTTTAGAAGATAATTAGTTTTTGGAGTGATCTGCAAGTGACACATGGCGCGATCTAAGCTGCTGCTTCTTCCCTACGCCTTGCCACCAGATGGTGACACATGGCATGAGTACTCCAATCC